TTTTTTTTTTTTTTTTGTCTTTTGTCTTTTTTCCGTGTCCGGCAACGGATCGCAACCCTCAGTGTTGCCCCCGGACCGGTCCGGGGACCGGCAACGGGATCGCAACCCTCGGTGTCGCGCCCGCACCGCGCTCAGCCAGTGAGCGGGAACCGGTCTCCACATGGGATCCTAACCCTCAGCGGGAGCGCGCCGCGCTTCCCAAGCGGCGCACTATCCAGTGCGCCACCGGGCCGGCCCCTAGAGGGGTTTTGGTCAAAGTCGGACTATCACTGCATCTTCATGGAGCATCCCAGGTGCCCAGACCTGAGCTCCCAGCTGCAGGGAGGAGGAAGCAGCCTGTCCTCTGTCCTGGAGGGTCTTCTGGTCTAGCTGGAAAGAGTGGCTCCTCACCCATGTCCTGGTGACAGAACCACGTGACAGGAGGGAGCCAAGAGCTAGAATGAGTGGTTCACAGGCTGAGGAGGGAGAGGTTGGCAAGGGTTGAGGCATCGAGGAGGCTGGGCATGGGGTTGCAGACCTAGAGAGCCCCTCAGAATTGAGGACCTACAGCGGGAGGGCCCTCCAGGACTGGCAAGTGTGGGCCACAGACTGGTGCCAGTTCACACACTGCAGGCAGAACCCAGAGAAGGGAAGGGACTTGCTCCAAGTCACACTGCAAGTTTGTGGCCAAGTTGGGCCTAGAACCTAGTCCCTGATGGTTTCCCACGGTGTGCTGAGCTGAACAGAAGGGCAGGATTTTACTGAACAGAGGGAAGGAGGATGTTTTGTTTCAACCCAGACACAGACAGATTCCAAGCCTCCCCCAGACAAGGCCAAGAGCCTTATGTCCTGGCAGACAGAAGTCTGAGCCGCCTGTTGTCCAGACATACTCTCAGAGACAGAGCTAATCCCCATAACTGGCCACCTCTCGCCTCTGGCTGTAGGACTCAGACCTTAAGGAGTGCCAGGGAAGTGCCTCCGAGGCCAGCCAGGACAGCTGTCAGCGGTCAGCTGTGGGGGGGAGGGGGGGCCCAGCCCAGCCCTCCTGTTCCTACCACCCCGTGTGTCTCCCCTCACTGCCACCCCTCAGTCCTCTCTCTCCCTTCTCCTCTTCTTACAAGGCCTGCTTCATTTGAGAATTTAGGGTCAGCAAGTGAATTATGAACAGGCAGTCTGAACCAGACCCATACTCCCTGAATGGAAAAGGGCAGGTTGCTGACCCTGAAGCCATGCAGTCACATCCAACCCACTGCAAGACACATGTGGTATCAGGGTTGCTGCAGGCAGCACTGTTAGAACTCACAGGCAGTCAGAATTCCTCTAAGTGGAGCAATCAGGGTAGACTTCCTGGAAGAGGGGACCTGAGTTGGACCTAGGAGGCTGAGTGAGCTTTGGAGTTCTGGGACAGGCGAACAGCATGGACAGAAGTATGGAACAGAGAAGGAGTTAAATCTGTTTAGGAAACTTCCTGGAAGAGGGGACCTGAGTTGGACCTAGGAGGCTGAGTGAGCTTTGGAGTTCTGGGTCAGGCGAACAGCATGGACAGAAGTATGGAACAGAGAAGGAGTTAAATCTGTTTAGGAGATAGACTTTGAAGCTGGAACCCAGGGGAGTAGAAGAGCGGATAGGCCCAGGAGAATGAAGAGGCTCTGACCCAAGGAGCTCAAGCCTGTTTTTTAGGTCCACACCTAAGACATGGCATACTTTGGTCAACAATTAGGGCTCTGTCCAGAGGAGGGAAGACTTATGAGAATCTCCTGAGTAGGGCTATTTTTAAATAGCCCTCCAAGATTTTTATATGGCCCTGCCTGCAGGGGCTGTCTCCAGCTGAGTTACCTGCAGGTATTAGGGACCCACAGAGGGTCATTGCTAGGCCTGATGCCATTTTTAGAGGATTCCTTTTGGGGAGGGGGGGAGTTGGTGGGCAGCTGGCAAGTAAAGGGATCTGAATCCTTGACCTTGGTGTTACTACAAGACTACGCTCTAACCAATTGAGCTAACTGGCCAGCCTGAAAAAGACCCCATTGAAAGCCACACAGTGGAAGCCAGAAAGGAGGGGACAGCTAGGCCTTCATGGGGTCAGGTGAGAGAGGAAGAAGGCTGAGCCTCTGCTGCAGTGCCGGGGGTCAGATGCAGAGTCTTCAGGGCTGGGGAGGGGGCTGATGTGGCCCATGCTGGGTTTTGGCGTCACTGTACCCCAGTCCCACTCAGTTTTCCCACCTGCCCCTGCAGCACAGCCTACGCTCCTGAGGCCACTGATTATGACGTGCGGGTACTGCTGCGCTTCCCCCAGCGCGTGAAGAACCAGGGCACGGCGGACTTCCTCCCCAACCGGCCACGGCACACCTGGGAGTGGCACAGCTGCCATCAGTGAGTGGAGCGGGGCTTGGCCCAGCCTCTCCCACTTCCTCCTCTGGGCCAGGGGCCTGGGTGCCTGAGCTCCTACCCCCATTAGCACTCAGGGAGACGCAGATGCTGGTTGGAGGGCCCTGGGGAGGTGGTGTCTGCCAAGGATCCATTCCTAGAGAGAGTTTCTCAGAGGAGCTTTAGCCAAAGCTGGGCTGGAAGATGGGACATGGAAGGATTGATCTTGATAAGGGATGGAAACATCTAGAATAAGGGCATTGCCCAAGGGCGGCCAGTACAGGTGGGAGAGTCCTGAGGAGGTGCTCTCCTAGGGTGACCTGGCTGGGCGGGGAGCACCAGAGATGCCACTCTGTGGGACTCAGGGGACAGAAGAGCCCAGACTGGTCAGGAGGCTTTGTCAAAGCGGGGTCCTCTGGCCCATCTCAGGATGGGGACAGGATGGGACAGGGGAGACTATCCCGCTTCTCTCTCCTCCAGACATTACCACAGCATGGACGAATTCAGCCACTATGACCTATTGGATGCAGCCACAGGCAAGAAGGTGGCCGAGGGCCACAAGGCCAGTTTCTGCCTGGAGGACAGCACCTGTGACTTCGGCAACCTCAAGCGCTATGCATGCACCTCTCACACACAGGTTGGGCTAGAGAGGCAGGGCGTGGCACCCAGGGGCATGGGGATTGCGCCCAGCCCAGGGCAGTAGGGGAGGCAAAGAGCAACAACGGCCAAGCCAAGCTGAGGATGGGCTGGTCCCAAGGTTTCAGGACACCTGGCTCCAGTCAAAGTGAGGGTGTTCTCGCCAGGCCACGGGCCACCGCAGGGCCCTGTGGAGATGGTCCCCTCCCTGCCAGGCCCCTTCTTGCATCATTCCTGGGGGATCAGCTCATGGACAGAAAGGAACATTGTAACAAACTCTATATAGCTTGTGTCCCATTTGCCTGTCTGTCCACCCAAGTCCATCTTCCATCAGTTCATCCAAACATCCACAAACTGTCCATCTGTCCTGCCTGTCTCTTTTTATCCATTCCTCCATGTCTCTCCCAGGCCTCCCTCCCCACTGCATTTCATCCCTCCCACCTGGCCACTATATCTCCCAGTCTTCTGTCTGGTCCATCCATCCAGTGGCCTCAGGGAGGGGCAGACCCACCTTGAGCAGCCAGCCTGTGCCAGGGTCAGAAGAGAAGCGCAGAGGAAAGAGGGCCCCCGCCTGCTGGAGGGGGGCATGGGGTGGTGCCAAGGAGTGAGCAGCACCCCAACATCTCCTCTTGTCCCTTTCCCCAGGGCCTGAGCCCAGGCTGCTATGACACTTACAACGCGGACATTGACTGCCAGTGGATTGACATAACAGATGTGCAGCCTGGGAACTACATCCTCAAGGTGGGCCTGCTGGTCTGGGGCATTCTCTCCACCCTGATGTTCATGCTCAGTGTCCCCCCACTCTGGGCATGTTCCCTCCTCCCCAGCTGCTGAGCAGAGGCGGCGGCATCTAAAGCATCACATGAGGTTGACGCTGCCCCTCTGAAGGTTTAGGTCTCAGGCAGACACGGCCTCTCTTTCCATAAAGACGCCAAGGCCCTTTGGCCCAACTGTGGTGATGCTAGAGGAGGCGGTAACACCATCTTCCCTAAGTGACAGAGGACCAGAGAGCAAGGAGGACTTGGAGAGCCATGAGGTCTATCCCCACTGTCTGCATGCAAGGCAGACTTTAGGCCATCTGGGAGAGAAATGAGGAGAGGTTCTCAGCTCTTCTCTGAGAGAAAGCCCTGCAAAGCCGAGGGCTCCTGTGACCAAGAGTCCCTTCTAGCCTGAACCCTCCTGCTCCAGGATACCCTCACTCCCTCACCCCTTCCATCAGTGCAGGGACAAGTAGAAAAGCATGTTAATGACACACAGCCCAACTTGGTACATCCATGTAGGCTGTGCCTCATCTGGGAAAGCCAAGTCTCAGCCTCCTCCATGCAGGTACCCTCTCCCCATCACCTCTGTGTCTGTCTGTCTGTCTCTCTGCCTCACCACCACTTTCTCTGGTGAGCAGGTGAAGCACAGCCTCCCTTACTAGGTCTCTCTGTTCCCTTCTTCCTCAGGTGCACGTGAACCCAAAGTACATTGTATTGGAGTCTGACTTCACCAACAACGTGGTGAGATGCAATATCCACTACACAGGCCGCTATGTTTCCACGACAAACTGCAAAATTGTCCAGTGAGTGTTCGCCCCCCACCCTTCCGGCCCCAGCCCCTTTCCTGCATGGGGAGCAGGCTGGCCATCTGAAATAAGTAAAGCACCTGCACTTTGGGGCACCTGATGGCCAAACACAACTGTGGCTGGGCCCAGGAGAAAGAGCCCTGTTGGAGCCAACCCCAGGCTGAGTGCTCACAGTGGGGCTCTGCTGCAGGGTGTTGATCTGGGGCCTGATCATGCGGCACCCTAAGATTTCCCCAGTAGAAACCAGCAGAGGGCAGGATGGTTCATTGCAAGTATGTGGGCACTGCAGTCCCAGGTCTGTGACACCAGGTGATCCACCTCATCTCTCCGAGCTACCATTCTCAACTATGAAATGGGCGTTTCCTACACAGGCTTAGGATAAGGATGCAGAGGCTTGATTCTGCATGTTCAGGAGCCCAGCACACAGTGGCACTCAGTGAGCAGCTGCTGTGACCATCAGTGTCCTTACCAAGTGGATTGAACTGAACAGACCCAGATGGGAAGTGACTCTGATTGGAATGAGCCACCATCAGTCCCTAGGTCCCTGTTGTAGAGGAAGTTAATGAAATCTGGGCCCAGGCTTTCGGCACATGCCTGCTGGGTAGCGTCCTCAGCTTCTGCTCTCCCGGGCCAGCTGTCCTCAGTCTCCCTCCTGCTTCTCCACATGAAGCACTTTGCAGAGGGACCCCCTGTTTACACGCTCACAAAGAAACCCCACCCGACTCCATGTGAATTTAAGATGTTAGATCAGATCAAGGCAAATCTTTTCCATTTAAAAGAAAGGTAGGGCCGGGTGGTTAGCTCAGTTGGTTAGAGTGTGGTGTTATAACACCAAGGTCAAGGGTTTGGATACCTATATCAGCCAGCCACCAAAAATAAAACAAAATAAAAACTATTAAAAAACAAAACAAAACGCAAAGGGCTGGCCAGTTAGCTCAGTTGGTTGGAGCGTGGTGTTGATAACACCAAGGTCAAGGGTTCAGATAAAGCAAAACAAAAGAGTAGTCCTAAAGCTTAAAGCTTTAGTTCATCAACTGGGGGACAAGTGGTAGAGATTCCAAGGCCCAGCGGCACCTTTCCCTATAGTGTATGCTCACTGTTGGATGGCGGTTGTGAGAGGTTAAGCCTGTGACCTAGGGTCAGGGCTCAGTGTGTGACCAGGGTCAGGACTCAGTTTGTGACCAGAATAGGGGCTCAGTGGATGACCAGGGTTGGGTCATTCAGAGACAGCCCTTTCACCCTTGGCTGCTACCACTAACCTACCTGTTCACAACTCCCCCCTCCCCTCTTCCAGCGCACCAGGAATATTGAAAATGAGGACAGCAGCCTCCAGCTCAATACAAAGATTAGGTTCCTCATGAGTAGAATTAGATCAGCATTACCCAGGGCACAGAGTTTGTTTGGAAGACCATCTCCTGCCCTGTCACTGGCAGTTTGGCTCTTTCACAAGCCTGGGTTTCCAGCACCCTCCTGCTCCTCAGGGCCTGTCTCAATCAGCCATTCAAAGTTCAGGGGTCATCTAAGCAGCAGAGGTTTTCTGGGAAGCACTTCTAGGGAAGGAGGAGGAAGACGGAAGGAAGGGGACTGTAGGAAACAAAGGAGGCCACTGGGGGCTGAGGGAGGCAGGGAGCCTGCATCCCCATCATGAGCAACCAGCAGGCCCCCAGCAGGGCAGACAGAGATGCAGCCTGCACCTCCCTCCCAGCTCCCCGGGGGCCTGCAGGCGGCAGAGGAGGCCAAGGCCCTTCCTTCCGAGAGCTCTTTACATAAGTGTTTGGAAAGGCCCAGTCTTATTAGAGCGTCTCCGTGACCCTGACCGCAGGCAGGCGGCTGGGCCAGTGTGCACAGGAAGCTGGACGGAGCGTTCCCAGAAAGGCCATGGGACTGACGCCTGTGGGTTTCCATCATGTTTCTAAAGAGGAAAAGGGAGGCTTTTAAAAGAAAGTAGTGAGTTAGAAAAAACAAGAAAGAAAGTATTTCCAGACAGTAGCAGCTCTGCTAATGGCCTAGAAAACAATCTGGGACTCAGGGCATAGGCACGGGTGTGCTAAGACCGCGCTCTGGGTTGGTGGGAGGGAGTCCACGAAACCCCTCTTTTTGGAGTTGGGCTGAGGGGTCAGCCTCCTTCCCCTGTGCCCAAGTTTCTGAGGGAAATGGAGGCTGTGCCTGCCCTCCCCCTCGGGCTCTCGATGTGGACAGGAAGCCCCAGCTGGGAGGCTGTGGGGGGCCCACCTTGCAGCCCACACTGACTGCTCTCTCTTTCCTTAGATCCTGATCTCCAAGAGGGACAGATGGCCAATCTCTCCCCTTCCAAAGCAGGCCCTGCTCCCCAGGAAGCCTCCTGCCACGGGGCCCAGCCCCCAACCCACAGGCAGGGGCAGCTGGACGCCAGGGGCATCCCTCCCTGCCGGCCTCAGGGAGCGAGCAGGGGCCGAAACCACAGGGATTCCGGATGCCAGGCCCCATTTTGTACTTAACTTTTCTCTACCACACTGTTGTGTCAGTTGTTGGTTTTAATTTTTTATGTTTTGGCCATACCACAGAGCAAGATTACCCAGGTCCGGGCTGAATAAAACAAGGTTTTTCTACTCTGTGGTTCTGTATGTGGCCCAGCTGGCTGCCACACTAGGTTGGGCTCAAGGGACATCCTTGGGCTTCATCCTTCCCCGAGGACAGCAACCACCCTGTCAGGACTGCAGAAACCTTGAAGGTGGCAAGCCTGTTGTGGAAGCCTGAAGCCAAGCCACTGCAGGAAAGAAGACACATTGCACTGGGTTGGGGGCCCCCGGCATGGGGGTGGGAGGCTCCCGCTCCTCCACCTGCCCCCCTTCTTGGCCTCACACACTCACCTTCCACCTCCCATACTCATGGCCCGCCCAGTCGCTGTCTAATGCAGTCACTCACTCCACTTGCCACTTACTCCCTTAAGACTGAGTGCCTACTGAATGCCAGGCACTGTGCTGGGGCACACACAGGAGCATCATGGTTCCTGCTCCCAGGGAGCTTACAGCCACATAGGAATGGGGGTGCACGTTGTGCCTGGTGATACAGCACCTGGGGGGAGGGAGACCGTCACGTGGCCTCCTTCCAGGGAGGGAGGGGAGAAGAGTGTTCTTCGCAGAGGGGACGGTGTTGAGCAAAGGCACTGAGGTGGGTGTGGAGGCTGAAGGGTGTAGGAATGAGAGATGGAGGGAACAGCCCCCTCCCCTGCCCTGGCTGTGGTGTCCCGGTGTTCTTCGCAGAGGGGACGGTGTTGAGCAAAGGCACTGAGGTGGGTGTGGAGGCTGAAGGCTGTAGGAATTGAGAGATGGAGGGAACAGCCCCCTCCCCTGCCCTGGCTGTGGTGTCCCAGAGATCCTGGACTCTGGGCCAGGCCAGGAAGAAGCATGCGGGTGCTACCGCCTTCCCTCCTTTCCCACAAGCCCTCAGGATACCTTTGCACCTGCCTGCCCCCCAAGGGAGTAGTTGGTGAGAAAAGGGAAGAGACTCAGTTCAAGAGCCAGGCTCGAAGCATGCGGGTGCTACCGCCTTCCCTCCTTTCCCACAAGCCCTCAGGATACCTTTGCACCCGCCTGCCCCCCAAGGGAGTAGTTGGTGAGAAAAGGGAAGAGACTCAGTCCAAGAGCCAGGCTAAGTCCCATCTCAGTGTCTGAAATGCCCTCTGGGGCAGGCTCACAGCACTGCCCTGTCTGTGAAGACCTGAGATGTGGCCTCCTGCCACTTCAGGGGCAGAGTCTCATGAGGTACTCTGCCTTACAGAGGATGGCAGAGTCTGTGCCCTGGGAGTGGGGAAAGAAGAGTTCTAAGGATGACAAGAGGCTTGGCAGGTGTCTAGCAGTCAGGAGACCAGGTCACATGACACAGGGACTCAGGCCCACCGGCCCCCTCACCCGCCTGTCTGCCGTTCCAAGGACCGTCTTACACCCTGACTCCTTGAAGCCTTCCTTAACCACCTCCTCTCCCCTCTTAAACTGGGGTGCACTGTGTGACTGCACCCAGGGCTTTCCTACCCTCACCCTGCCATGGACACGCACAGGAGTAGGAAGGGCACCCAGGCCCCCCCACCCTGGACACACAAAGATACACGGGTGCCATCTCCACTTCTGACCCAGCACCTCCCTCTGGGCTTCACAGACCAAGAGGGTCTCTGCCAGCTCATCTGGGCACCGGTGTGCAGGAGTCAGCCTGAGCTGCACAGGCCTCAAGGTCACCCACCTGGTGTCCTTCCCATCCTCTTCCTGCATAGTCCCAGAGTTGAGGGGCTCACTACCTCTCCAGACACTGCCTGTGACAAATGCCCTGAAGTGCAATGGGCCCCGTGCAGCCTGCCCTTGGTCTGGGCGACAGAATCCACTAAGTGATAATTCGGGGTAGACGTGGCTGAGAGCAGGACACGAGAGAGCAGAGGCAGTGCAAGCAGCAGGGGACCCAACTGGGATCCCAGCTCTGTACTCCAATGGGCCTCAGTCTCCCCATCTGAGTCCTGAATGGGCTGGGCTCCTTGGGTCCCAGGGCTGTTGTCTGCAGGGAAGAGAAGAGAGGGGAGGAGGCAGAGAAGGAGAGGGAGGGAGGTAGGCACAGTCCAGCCGCTGCATGTGTTTGGTGGGGGGGGAGGGGACTACTGCTGGACCCAGAGCAGGGCAGCCAGCCCAGAGACTGTGGGGGCTGCAGCCTGGTGAGGCCTGGGGCATCATCTGGCTTGGGGGATACCACAGACAGAGGCCCTTAGTGGGGCATCAGACCCCAAACCAAGGGCTGGCCCCAGAACCTTACTGATTGAGAGAGGCTTACTGATTGAGAGAGAGGGTGCCCAGGTGCCCAGCTGCCCAGGCCAGGTGAGTGGGCCATGCAAGCCAGCATGACGAGACCAGCTCAGACCAGGATCCCCCAGTGGCTGGTGTCCTGGCCACAGCCTTGGCTTTGTCCCCCTCACACGCCCAGATGCCTACAGCTCCACGCTGTGCCACCTACCCAGGCAGCAGCACCCTCCCTAAAGGGCCC